CCCCTAATAAAACTTAAAAAACCAAGCACAAGGACTGTTTACTGTTTCCGGAATGCAAGTTTGTGAGAAATGCGTGTTGCCTGGCTGTGCAGGACTATAGAGGGACCCAAATCTTTAGCAACTCCTGAGGGGATAGTTCTACACCTACACAATCTATTCTCTGAACTGCTGTCAAAGTGATACCCACCTGGGAGGTGGGTAAAGGTAAGCTGAAGTCTAGGTATGGCAGTTTTTGCATAGTTATATGGTCTAGCTTGGATCAATATAAGTATGTATATACCATACCTCACTGTAGGAAGCACCACTGCCACTGCTGGATTCTGAATACAGGAGGGTGCTCATAGGGTACGGGTGCCATTCAGGGAACACCTTGCATTTTCTCAAAAAAATAAAGTGTTCTCTGATTAGAAAACATGGAGATTGTGATGTTACTGCCCCACCTCTCTCGCCTTGTCCAATCAGAGAATACTTTGCATTTGTTGAGAAACTGTGTTCCTTGAATGGCACCTGTACTGTAGCTCCTGACTATAAGGCACGTGTTATATCAACTTCCAGTACCATGAGGAGAAGTCACCATACTCAAGGGAGGTCCAAGCTTCCAAACCAAACTTCTCCAGCCCCTTTAAGACACCTGGAGTTCCACCATGGCTCCTTAATCCCCAGGTTACTCAAACCCAAGTCTTGGTCCAGCTACATGGTCACCCTGCTCAGGCAGCAGACCTGGTAGGATTCAACAACCAAACAAATCCCTCCCCTAGGATGGAGGCCCAGGGGAGAACTGACTTCCAAAGGCCACTCTCCAAGCATGCACCATCAGCAATAACCCTCCTAGTGGTTTGTGGGTGCAGCCTACTTACTCTGTACTCTGTGTGTGCACGCTTTTCAATGCCAAGGACAAGGCAGGGCCACATTCATGTGAAATCAAGGTTATGACGGTACCCCAAATTAGAGATGAGCCGTACACCATGTGTAGTGGTAAAACATACAGAGTCTCTGTAAAACATCCTGTCCATGAGTGGTTGTACTTGGAAGGGACACCAATGAGCCTACACCCTCTCCACCTGTCCAGTGTACTTCTGTTACCCTGCTCTCAGTGGAAGAGTCCTGCCGTGCACTAGCATAGACCTCATGCGTGCACCTAGTTAACTCCTCTTGCTCTCCCATATCATGTGTCCAAGGCTATGGGTCTCCATACCACGTGTTCAGTCCCAGATACTTCTGGGGGAACCGATCACTAGGGAGGGAGCCAAGACACCGACCCCCTCGCTACTGGAGGACCCGTCAACCATGCCAGGTACCACACTTATTGACAGGCTGCTGTTCACTTCCCACTGGTCTTTGGTTACCTGTGATAACTGATCTCTTCCTCCACACCTGCTGCCAGGTCAACCCTCTGTAGTGCCCTTGCTTCTGTCCCCCATGTGTGTAATACCGGCCCTGTTCTTTCATTATGCCAAAAACCACCATGCACCCCTTTAAAGTAATTTCAGGCCAGGCTTTAGGACAGTTCAAGAATATGACTGGAACTTCTGCAGTGGTACAGAATAAAGTGCAACACAGTCCTCCTGACTAACTACTCTTTGGCTGCCCAGGCATACCTGAAAAGATGGACGTCCATATATGGTACTGTCCATTCTGGGAGAAACCAATCCTATTAAGAGTCTATTAAAAATAAAATTAGCTAGATTTGAGATTTTAGGTGGACCAAATAGGGAAATCTTGCACTGAGGTGACCATATATCCAGTCTCATCTCATTTCGTAAACGTGCGTTATTTTCAATTAGGCTGACACATCTGCTTAAGGCAGGGTGGCTATATGCACATGGGCTCTCGCAGAGGTTCTAACCCTTACCAGGTTATTTTATGTTAAATATAAAACTAGCTGGAGTTGAGATTTTAGGTGGATCAAAGAGGGAAATCTTGCACTGAGGTGACCATACGTCTGGTCCCATCTCAATTGGTAAATAAGTGCATTATTTCCAATGAGACTGATACATCTGCTTAAGGCAGGGTGGCTACAGGTCTCTATAAGAGGATATAACCCCTACCAAGTCTATTAAAAACCTATGAAAAAATCAAATGAGTAGAGATTTCAGGTGGACCCATTTTGATGCGTTATTTCCAATCAGGCTGACACATCTACTTACAGCAGGGTGGTTGCATGTAAATGGGCTATATCAGAGATTCAAATCTAAATGTGTCAAACACAAGGTTTTTCGGGTCAAATACAGCCTTCTATGTGTTTTCATGTGCCCCTCACACCTCTCCTCTAGCTGCAGCACCATTCTTGTCTCCGCCTCACCTTGTCTCATCAATTGGCAGTATAGAGAAAACTCCTACTATTTCCTCTCCCACGTGCCCCCTCCCATGACTTCTCTATGAAGAGCAATGGCAAAATCATCAATCCATCCCTGCATGCCAGACTGCTAGGTGTAATCTTGGACTCTGAACTCTCCTTTCAGCCCCACATCCAATCACTTTCCAAAGCTTGCCATCTCACCCTCCGCAACATCTCCAAAATATGCCCCTTCCTAACCAATGACACCAGAAAGCTCCTAATTCACTGCCTGGTCATCTTTCGCCTTGACTACTGTAACTCCCTCTTCATTGGATTACCTTTATATAGGCTATCCTGCCTCCATTCCATCATGAATGCAGCTGCCAGACTCCTCCACCTTACGAATCATTCAGCGTCCTCGACTCCTCTCTGCCAATCCCTCCATTGGCTCCCACTTACCCAGCAAATTAAATTTAAAATACTATCAACAACTTACAAAGCCATCCACAACTTGGCCCCCAGCTACATCACCAACCTGCTCTCAAAATATCAACCAAACCGCTCCCTTCATTCCTCCTAAGACCTTCTGCTCTGTAGTTCCCGTGTCACCTCCTCCCATGCTTGCCTGCAGGACTTCTCTCGAGCCTCTCCCATCCTATGGAATTACCTACTCCAATCTGTCCAGCTATCTCCTACTCTGTCCACTTTCAGGCGATCCCTGAAAACGTTTTTCTTCAGGGAAGCCTATCCTGCCTCCACCGAACAACTGTACATGTATTTTCTCCATCGTCTCATTCCCCACAGTTATTACCTTTTGTATCACTTGGCCCTCCCCTTTTAGACTGTAAGCTCTAAGGAGCAGGGCCCTCTGACTCCTCCTGTATTCCATTGTATTGTAAGTGTACTGTTTGCCCTCACATTGTAAAGCGCTGTGCAAACTGTTGGCTCCAGGGGCGGACTGACCATTTGTAAACTCGGGCACCGCCCGAGGGCCCGGGGTCAGTAGGGGGCCCCATGAGATGCCCCTGGTACCTTATTCATAGGCTTTTTTGAGTTTGGGTAAGGACACAGGGGCCCAATGATCCCCTATTGCCCGGGGACCCCATGAGTTGTCAGTCTCTGGTTGGCTCTATATAGATCCTGTACTATAATAATAATGCAAGGAGAGTGGGATGCTCTGGATATCTAGTGTCAGGGCTCCGGGTATGACCAGAGGTATGTGAACTGACGCAGGGAAACGAAGGCTTCAGATATGTTATAAACAATATAATTTATTAAAGACTAACAATACAAACATAAACGCAGTGCACCAAACCCCAAGCTAACACAAATACATACAACAAGGTGAAACAAACCCAAACCTAAACTGATACAGATACACAGGTACATACACATATAGAGCACAACGTAATCAGGCAGGCCGGGTCGATAACTATCGAGCAGGTAGGTACAGGAGGAGCAGGCGGAGAGAATGGTCGGGGTCACAAGCCAGGGATCAAAACAGGAGAAGTCAGCAGAGGTCAGGATCAGGCAGGGTCAGCAACAAGTCAGGCAGAGGCAGAGGCAGAAACAGGAACAGGAACGCAGGTTACAAGATACAGGGGCCCATGAAAAAAACACACACCAAGGCCCAGACTGCAGGTCTGGCCATCCCTTAAATACACCTCCGTAATCAGCTTCAGGTGTTTGGCTGGCTGCAGGGTTGAGTCTCTGATTGCTGAGAGCACCCGCTGGCCAGCCCTGGTACTGCAGCCCACAAGGCAGGTGAGTCCCACCATTACTGGCAAGTCCATTCCTGACAGTACCCCCCCCCCCTCAAGGAGCGGCCTCAGAACGCTCCAAACAGTCCTAGCCTGGCAAAATGTTCCACCGCCCGGGTCTGGTAACTGGCGGGATATCAGAGACTGGCACATCGGGCTGGACTCCGGGCAGAGGCACATCGGGCTGGACTTCAGTCAGAGGCACATCGGACTGGACTCCGGGCAGAGGCACATCGGGCTGGACTCCGGGCAGAGGCACATCGGGCTGGACTCCGGGCAGAGGCACATCGGGCTGGACTCCGGGCAGAGGCACATCGGGCTGGACACCGGATCACCAGGCGGAGCAGCAGGCACCGGGCCACCAGGCGGAGCAGCGGGCACCGGGCCACCAGGCGGAGCAGCGGGCATCGGGCCCCCAGGAGGGGGGAGACAGGCATCGGGGGCCCCCAGGAGGGGCGACAGGCATCGGGCCCCCAGGAGGGGCGACAGGCGCCGGGCCCCCAGGAGGGGCGACAGGCGCCGGGCACCCAGGCGGGGGGCGACAGGCGCTGGGCACCCAGGCGGGGCAGCAAGCACCGGGCCACCAGGCGGGGGGTGACAGGCTCCGGGCCCCCAGGCGGAGCGGCAGGCACAGGGCCCCCAGGCGGGGCGGCAGGCACAGGGCCTCCAGGCGGAGCGGCAGGCGCCGGGCCCCCAGGTGGAGCGGCGGGCGCAGGGCCCTCAGGCGGAGCGGTGGGCGCCGGGCCCCCAGGCGGAGCGGCGGGCCCCCAGGAGGGGCAGCGGGCACCGGGCCCCCAGGCGGAGCGGCGGGCGCCGGGCCCCCAGGTGGAGTGGCGGGCGCCGGGCCCCCAGGCGGAGCGGCGGGTGCCAGACCCCCAGGCGGAGCGACAGGCGCCGGACCCCCAGGAGGGGCAGCAGGCACCGGGCCCCCAGGTGGAGCGACAGGCGCCGGACCCCCAGGAGGGGCAGCAGGCACCGGGCCCCCAGGCGGAGCGGCGGGCACCGGGTCATCAGGCACGACAGCGGGCATCGGGTCACCAGGCATCAGGTCATTTGGCTTGCCAGCGGGCACCGCATCATCTGGCAAGGCAGTGGGCACCGAGTCTCCAGGCACAATAGTGGGTTCCGAGTCAACTGGCATGACCGCGGGCACTGGGTCAGACATTGGATCGTCTGGCTCGACAGCGGGCATCGGGTCACCAGGCATCAGGTCATTTGGCTCGACAGCGGGCACCGCGTCATCTGGCAAGGCAGTGGGCACCGAGTCACCAGGCACAACAGTGGGCTCTGAGTCAATTGGCAAGACAGCGGGCACCGGGTCCTCAGGTACCAGATCGTCTGGCTTGACAGCAGGCACCGGGTCACCAGGCATCAGGTCATTTGGCTCGACAGCGGGCATCGTGTCATCTGGCAAGGCAGTGGGCACCGAGTCACCAGGCACGACAGTGGGCTCCGAGTCAACTGGCATGACCGCGGGCACTGGGTCATCAGGCGTGATAGGATCATCAGGCTGGATCAGTTCATGAGGCTGGGTACAGACATCAGGCTGAAGTGCGGGTGCCGAGGCACCAGGCTGAACCACGGAAGGCAGGTTCTCAGACGGCAGGCTCACCGGTTTGGATACTGGCAGGATGGTACTGGTTGGAAAGAATTTTCGCTCTTTTCTGGTTTTAACTACTGGAGCACTGCAAGTAAACGCAGGTCTGCAAACGAATGGAGCAGCTGAGGACAGAGAAGAGCTGGAAGATGGAACAGAGGAGGGAGCAGCCGCCACAGAGGACCTCTCCACAGGGCCAAAGAAAGGATAGGTGCAGCGAGTGGGAGCAGGGGACCGGTATATGGTAGTTAGCAGAGTATACTGGGCCGTCACTGGGGGTACTGTCGGGGATGCAGGGAGAGTGCCTTGAGCAGAGGAATGATGTTGTAAGCTGACTGAGGCTGGGTGCAACAAGTCTGACCATGTCTGCAGTATGGGTTGAACAAAGCTGAGCTTACACAAAGCCTGTCTGGTCAAAGACTGCACTGCGTTTATACAATCCCTTAATACCTGTGGTGAACATGCAGCATAACGCTCCAAGAAGCAATCCACATCATCCTCTAATAACCATACCAGGGACTCTACCTGGTCTGCACTAAATGGTGGCAAAAAGTCATTCCTGCTTTCAGGGGTACCAGATGAAGCCAACTCTACACAAACCTGAATCAAAGGCTGCACCTCAGAGAACTCTGTGCCCTGATCTACTAGAACATGAGCGATCCGTATACATTCTAGTAGTTGATCCCGGGGATACTCCCTCACAGTCTGATAAGCATATTCTCTGTCATCAAAAACCAGCAGCGACAAATACACAACCTCATCAAGATCCATCCTTCCCAGCAACAAGCCAAGATGGCTTCCCTGTGCAGCCACTTCTGGTCAGGATTGGCCTTGGTGTAATGTCAGGGCTCCGGGTATGACCAGAGGTATGTGAACTGACGCAGGGAAACGCAGACTTCAGATATGTTATAAACAATATAATTTATTAAAGACTAACAATACAAACATAAACGCAGTGCACCAGACCCCAAGCTAACACAAATACATACAACAAGGTGAAACAAACCCAAACCTAAACTGATACAGATACACAGGTACATACACATATAGAGCACAACGTAGTCAGGCAGGCCGGGTCGATAACTATCGGGCAGGTAGGTACAGGAGGAGCAGGCGGAGAGAATGGTCAGGGTCACAAGCCAGGGATCAAAACAGGAGAAGTCAGCAGAGGTCAGGATCAGGCAGGGTCGGCAACAAGTCAGGCAGAGGCAGAGGCAGAAACAGGAACAGGAACAGGAATGCAGGTTACAAGATACAGGGGCCCATGGAAAAAAACACACACCAAGGCCCAGACTGCAGGTCTGGCCATCCCTTAAATACACCTCCGTAATCAGCTTCAGGTGTTTGGCTGGCTGCGGGGTTGAGTCTCTGATTGCTGAGAGCACCCGCTGGCCAGCCCTGGTACTGCAGCCCACAAGGCAGGTGAGTCCCACCATTACTGGCAAGTCCATTCCTGACATCTAGTCTTACGAATACAACCGACCCTTTGAGGGCAGCTGTAATGCTGATGTGGCTCGCGGTGAAATTAAGTTTGATGCCCCTGATCTAACCTTTACTAAGTCTGTGAAATGTCTTTTAAAAATATATAAACTTGACTAGAGTTGAGATTTTAGGTGGACTAAAGAGGGAATCTTGCACTGAGGTGACCATACATCCGGTCCCCATCTCATTTGGTAAACATCTGCATTACTTCCAATCAGACGGTCACAGTCTGAGCCACAGTACAGAAAGAGACAGTGAACAAAGCCCGCTCTCTCTTTGATATATGCACTTTCAGAAAGGTACGCGTGTCACTAATCTGGAAGACATTCTATTACAGAAATTAATAGCTTTAAAACTCATTTTCTGTTAGATCTATCGTAATCATTGAAGAGGGAAGCAATATAATTTGGTTGAAGATTCAAGGATAACCGCGGTTCAGAAACTTTCATTTCACCTTGTCTACGAAAGTGAGGGTTTTAAGTCATTTCACATGCATGTGGAAAAAAAAAAATAAAAGGTTTAAAATTACTGAGTCTGGAAATGATATAATTTACGGAGTCATATGATTAAAAAATGTTCTTTTTATGAGCTCTTCTAAATTGACTTTTTTCTTTTTTGCCTTATTCAATAAAGAGTTCTCATTCTTAAGTGCTAATTTCTTAACTTAAAGAAATACTTTGGTAAAACCAACGTACCGGTGTAGTGCCGGAAATCAAGCACACCTCAGTTTAAAAATGTGGCTACTTTATATGAGGCAATTTACATGAGAATTTAGGAGCTTGATATGTCCGTGGGTGCGGCTTAAAGTGAAGTAGTCGGCCATTTTAACCCCTTCACGCCTAAGGGTAAAACAAATCTAAATGCCTAAGTACAATTAAAAGTACAAGTAAAAACCATCCATATCATCACAGTTACCGTATTTTCCGGCGTATAACACGACTTTTTACCCCTTGAAAATCTTCTCAAAAGTCGGGGGTCGTCTTATACGCCGGTATGCGGCACGTCGCCCCCCCCTTCCAACGGAAGGGACACTAAGTACAGGGGTGGGCAGGGGCTGCTGTTTCTTACCTGGCTCCGGTCCCACGACAATCTGGTCCAGGAAGCGCGGCTGCTCCTTCATTCAGTTCAGCCACTGGATGTTCGCGTGGCTGCTCGGCTCCGCCTCCTCACCGGTGATTGGCCGCCAGAACTGTAGCTCAGGAAAGGCACACAGGCGGCCAATCACCGGTGAGGAGGCGGAGCCGAGCGGCCCCACGAAAATCGAGTAAAGGAGCGGCCGATAAGTGTGCCGTACAGAGGTGCTGCTGCAACCACATATGCTGGCTGCAGCAGCACCATACTGGAACAGGGGTCAGCAAGTGTCATTGGTGTCAGTGGGAGGAATAGTGCCCCATCATTGGTGTCACTGATACCAATGATGGGGCATTATTCCTCCCACGGACACCAACGATGGGGCACTTTTACTCCTCCCCACTGACACCAACGATGGCGCACTATTCCTCCCCCCCACTGACACCAATGATGGGGCACTATTCCACCCCCACTGACACCAATGATGGGATACTATTCCTCCCACTGACACCAATGATGGGACACTATTCCTCCCACTGACACCAATGATGGGGCAAGATTCCTCCCACTGACACCAACGATGGGGCACTATTCCCCCCACTGATACTAATGATGGGGCACTATTCCTGCCACTGATACCAATGATGGGGCACGATTCCTCCCACTGACACCAATGATGGGGCGCTATTCCTCCCACTGACACCAATGATGGGGCGCTATTCCTCCCACTGACACCAATGATGGGGTGCTATTCCTCCCACTGACACCAATGATGGGGCACGATTCGTCGCTCTGACACCAATGATGGGGCACGATTCGTCGCTCTGACACCAATGATGGGGCACTATTCCTCCCACTAATACCAATGATGGGGCACTATTCCTCCCACTGATACCAATAATGGGTCTCTATTCCTCCCACTGATACCAATGATGGGGCACTATTCCTCCCACTGATACCAATGATGGGGCACTATTCCTCCCACTGATACCAATGATGGGGCACTATTCCTCCCACTGATACCAATGATGGGGCACGATTCTTCCCACTGGTGTGCATTGGAACATCTTTGTACATCCAGGTGGATTATACCGCATTTTTTTCAGGACAAATTGGGCTTTCGTTTGGTGGTAAATGGTCATGGATATCTCCTGATTTTTTTTTTTTTTTTTATCAAAGGAAAACTGGCCAAAAAAAGTAAAAAAAAAAATCTTTTTTTTTCTATTTATCTGCGTGTTTCTTGTTACTACCATAACCTACCACCAAAGAACAACCCAAAATAAATTCTCCAGCCCTTGACGATGGCAGCGATACCATCTATGTGTATGTTATTTGTTGTTTGTACCCGTAGTACAGCCCAGAAACAATAGTGCGCATTTTGTTTCTGTGGTTTTTTACCTAAAACACACTGACACCATTTTTTTTTTAAATCCTGACCTTTGACCCTGACCTTTTGTCCTTGACCTTTGATCCTGACCAGGGGTGGACTGACAGCTCATGGGGCCTCCGGGCAATAGGGGATCATGGGGCCCCTGTGTCCTTGCCCAAACCCAAAAAAACCTATGAAAAAGGTACCTGGGGCATCTCATGGGGCCCCCTACTGACCCTGGGCCCTCGGGCAGTGCCCGAGTTTCCAAATGGTCAGTCCGCCCCTGATCCTGACCTTTACCCAAACACTTACCCTGGCACTGAACTAGATCAAACCTTAAGTATGTTTGTTTATTTATTTATCTTTATTTTATTTTGTTTATTTATTTATTTATTTTCACAAACATTTTTTCCCCCTCTATGCCAGGATATATGCAGATATATACAATATATCTCTCTCCTCCATTTATAGAGACAAACAAAACAAGGGGTTGGGCTGTACAGTGACTTATCACTGTGATAGCCAATCAGGCTATCACAGTGATCATGTGACTCAGTTTTTTTTTTGCCTTATTCAATAAAGAGTTCTTATTCTTAAGTGCTAATTTCTTAACTTAAATAAATACTTTGGTAAAACCAACGTACCGGTGTAGTGCCGGAAATCAAGCCCGCCTCAGTTTAAAATGTGGCTACTTTACATGAGGCAATTTACATGAGAATTTAGGAGCTTTATATGTCGGTGGGTGAGGCTTAAAGTGAAGTAGTCGGCCTTTTTAAACCCTTAAAAGTACAGGACCTGTGGTGATGAGTGTAGAAATGAGCAACCAAATTAAACAAAGTATGTTTTCTGTGAAGCTATTGATTTCTTCGGGAACTTTTTTGGTTAAGTTTGCCTTTAATTGAACTCAGTTTTGCATATAGGTCACTGTAGCCGTATTAGTGCATTTGCGACAGAAACAATTGAGTACTGTCCGTGATACTTTTTTTATTTGCACTAACATACAAAGTACTGCTTAGACCTTGAAGAAGGGGACATACCCCGAAAGCTTGTCCTCA